GGTATTGCGGTATTTAAAAAATTAATATCATAACAAAAATAAACACCGGTATTCGGTATGAACCGGTATACCGCCCAGCACTAGTGGATCATATTGATCGTTAAAGTGATTCTCTACATCTGTGTTTCCTCTGTTAGGACACCTGTGAGAACTGACTTCATATATTGATTAAAAATCACCAAAACACCAACTGATTCAAACACATTGAACAAAAATAATGAAGAAAAGTGATGTTAGTCCTGCAGTATTTGATACAGACACCTGATCTGATGTTTAATCATCAAATGCTTTGACATTCAGACATTTTCAAGTGTGTTATTCTCAGTCCTAATAGTTTCTGGGCCATTTTTTTTTTACATTTATTTTTAATTATAATTTTAATAAATATAATATGAATGGTGATATATACAAGTAGATTTCCATGTATTAATTATTATTTTTTAATTAACATTTTTACATTCATTTTAATTATAAAATAAGATATATCTTGGGCATTTAAATTACTAAAATTAACATTATTGTAATAATTCAATTTGATTTCCATATATATATTAATTTCCATACATATATGCATGCATGTATGTATGTATATCCTCAAATAAACATTTGTGACAAAGCACACACAAACACACACGCCTACACCCAATCACAATATGCAAATAGTTTTAAGATGATTCACCGTTGAGCAACTTCTTTCTGATCTGAAAGAATCATCACTGCGAAAGGTTGTCAAAACATGCTTTAAGCCAATGAAGGTTTTGATGTGGCAAGATGTTGATGACACAGGATTATTAAAAAACAAATATGCCATTAAAATCAAACGATAAGAAACCTAAGTCAACATCCTCCTGACATGCATCAAAGAGAACGTGCTTAAAGACGGACTGTAAAACTGATATGATGTGTCTGGTTTCAAACAGTCACACTGAGCTGCTAATGCTGCGCTGCACAAGCCAATCACATTCATCCAATGAAGATGCCTTAAATCAGCCACTAAAAGACAAAGTAAAGGAGCAAATGTATTGACTTTGCAACATGTAAAACCAAAGGTAAAACTTGAACAAACACACTATCATTCAAAAGTTTGGGTCAGTAATTTTGAATGAAATTATTACTATTATTAAGTAAGGATGCATCAAATTGATCAAAAGTGACAGTAAAGACATTTAAAAAGTTACAAAAGATTTGTTTCAAATAAATGCTGTTATTTTAAACTTTCTATTCATCAAAGAATCCTGAAAAATAAAATGTATCACGTTTATACAAAAATATGAAGCAGCACAACTGGTTTCAACACTGATAATAATCAGAAATGTTTCTTGAGCAGCAAATCAGCATATTAGAATGATTTCTGAAGAATCATGTGACACTGAAGACTGGAGTCATGATGCTGAAAATACAGCTGCACATCACAGGAATAAATTACATTTTAACATCTATTCAAATCGAAAACACTTATTTTAAATTGTAAAAATACTTAGCAATTTTCTGTATTTTTGATCAAATAAATGAAGCCTTAAGCATTAGAAAAACATAAAAAATGAGTGCTGTCAAACGATTAATCACATCCAAAATAAAAGTTTTTGTTTGCATAATATGTGTGTGTGTTCTGTGTATATTTATTGTGTATATATAAATACACATACATGCATGTATATATTTCAGAAAAATATGTTATGTTTATATATTAAATATATTTATTTATAAATATAGACATAGAAATACATGGAAATATTTTCAAAATATATACTGTATGTGTGTGTATTTATATATACACAATAAATATACACAGAACACACACACATATTATGCAAACAAAAACTTTTATTTTGTATGCGATTAATCACGATTAATCGTTTGACAGCACTATTAAAAATTTTAAAAAACCTTGAATGCCAATGCATGTCTATGAAAATGTATGT